CTATAAACACTGCAACGTAGTTTTTAAACACGTGGTTCAATCTTGAAAATTCGATAAACTGTTTATTACTCTCTGGCAAGTTATACATAAATTTAATATATTTACTGGACCCATTAGTTTGATGTTAATTGAACTGTCAAATATTTGAAAACGTGTTAAACTCTATTGTATGTTTATGGAACCCATCTCAAAAATATTAAAAATAAATAATTTTATACGTATACTTAAATAGATAATATTTTATAAACTAATCGTAATCGTTTTTTTTTAAATTTTAATTTAGGATATCAGAACTGAGAAATAATTATAACACAAGACACAATATGAAATAAATAATACCTATATAACAAAAACGAGCATAAAATTATAAATAGAAAAAAAACTAACAAATCTGGTTGAACTTTGGAAGAAAAATACAAAATAAAAGTGACGAATGGTTATCTCAGATAAAATAGTTTAACGTATTACAATGCGTATAGATGTATACTGTATACCCAACTATATGAACTATAAGGAATATTAAGTCTCAATAAGTCATATTATATGACTTGGTGAAGAGGTAGTGATTAGTAAAATATATTAATGATAAGTCATAAATGCGATAAACGGTCACCCGACGACTGTTTTGTAGTTATTGTGTGCGCGTATAACATAGTACATAAGAAATTAATATAATACGATCCATTGCCCCGTGCGGCGGCGACCACCATATCAAAAACACCGGGCCGTAGGCATCGTCCCACGCGCAAAAAATTACCTCCTCCCCCGCATCATATTATTCGCTTACCCCTTTCACCGTACACCTCCATATTCATGCACACGCGCTGTTGAGACACACGAGCTATATGTTCGCATATATAGTAGGCGGTGCGGGCACGTGATTGTCCAGCCGCCGGTCCATCCCGTACGCAGGATCCACACCCCCGCGCGTTGTACGGGTTATTGTGGATATAACGCGTGCCCCATTGTACGTGGTTCGCACACACACGCCAGTTGAAATTATAGACGGGTTGATAAAAAAATGCGAACACGCGGGGGCCACCCGCACTATATATAATATATACATATATATATAGGTACGCACGATAATGAAATATAATATGCGAATTCGACCTCCTATCGACTTGCTGCTGTAGTCGGAGTGTTTTTTTTATTCCTACTTTGATCGCCTCACCTCCCCTCACCCACTAATTTTTTTTTGTTATTTCATCTTTTACCTCTTTTTTACTCTGTTTTAGTGCTCGAAAGCTAGTTAGTCACTACGTATACCTACGATTCGCTAATATTTTTATATACATACAATATACACACAACATTATATATTGTTATTATATGCGCTCGACTCGCCGTAATATACAGGAATATAATATATAAACATATATACCCTTCCTCCTAGATTGCACGGGGAGGTGGTTAAAAGTTGACAAAGGGGATGCCAGTACCATTGCAATATTATCGATTAACGTGATATATATAATAGGTACATATAATATATACTATATTATATACATACCTTGACGTACCCCCGCCCTAAGCATCACCACAATGCGTGTATGTGACGCTGACTAGGTGGTTGTATTATACAGTCCATCCCGATAAATTTGTACTTTCTGTTATTATTCGAGCAATTGTAGTATCATATTTTTTATCCAATGCTGTATTTGGTATTTTTCCGTAAATGTTTATTTCACCTATTTAGGCTGGATCAATAAATTTCAAATCCCAATATAAGATAAATTGACTTGAGAAAGGTGTCAAGACGGCCGATATGGGAAGATACTAGGGATTTAAGAATTTTCTTATCTTGATTGTTCTTTAATCACTCCAATTATCAATTGAAAATTATGCAATAAATCATATGCCTGGTATGCGTTCACATAAAAACGCAAACTAGACTCGGTATAGGCAACTATACTATGGCATGAGGTTTGATATCATCACATACAATTTACAACTATAATAATAAAACAACAAGCGTTTGTAATGTAATTAAAAAATAAATAATAATGATTAGAATGCATGCTTTATTGAGTTATAAATAGACATCGTTGCGGTTCCTCTATCGAAATCCATGTATATTATATACCTAATGATTAAAAGGTGGTGTATTGTACTTAATTAAATATAATGGTTTATCATTAGTAAATCAAATTAGAATATTTTATTTGAAATGGTAAAAAATATAGGTACGCGTAGTATATTCAATAAGAACAAATAATATACAAATTAAGTTAAAATTATTTTACTTAAATACTATTCTATAATGACTAATGTCATTGGATATAATTGAAGTATAGCTAGAATACATTAATCATACATAACGTTTTTCCTGAATTTAGTATGGCTGAAATTTAAATAAAATATTTAATTAATATATATGTATATACTCGATGACAATACAAATTTATATTATATAATTATGATAATTTTGAACCGAATTATGTTGCAAAATGAACTATTGATGTGTTCAAATTTATTATTAGTTAAATTTTCAGGTCTTAAAATGTATTATTACACTTAACTAGTATACATAGATACATGACATTTTAAATTAAATAAACATATTAAACAAAAACATTAAAATACAATTACGAAAAATAAGTAATGATTAGTATGGTAATAATTAATGGTTATAGTTTTGAGAAATTATAATCGTTAAAAATTAATCTATTCAACAAATAGAGATGTATAAATAGTGCTACACATTAATATACGTTCAATATATTATTATAACATTTTATGGGTTCTCTAAAGGATAATGCATTTTTAATATTCCATTCAATAATCTTCTACTAATGAATTCAAAGTATCTATCATTTATTAATCACAAATTTTTTTCATAGAGCTAAGCTAACCAAAAATCAAGTTCAGTGATAAGATTTTTTACTCAAGCCACCTAAATAAACATTAAGAATATTTGTAATCGTATTTATTATAAAAAATAGACCTTAATAAATATATATATATATTCTTACTTCATAGAAAAAATTGTTAGTAATCGTGTCGTTTTAAGACATTAAAAATCAAAGTACAGCCGAAAAAAATAATATTCCGATTGCATTCGAACATGCATTGATTCCTAAAATAACGTATCTACGTATACTTAAATAAAATAGGTATAATATAAATATAATATAATTTGATTTATTCATCATTACATATACATAAATATCAACTTTTAAGTAGAAAAAATATTACGATTATTAACTCGTAATATATTTAAATACCTTGATGATTACGCATGTTATACTTTCAAATTATTGAGACATCCTAAGTACATAAAAAATAATAATAACGATTTAATATTATTGATTGATTTTTATAACTAGTTTTTTCATTAAATCAAAATTAAATTTTTTTTTTAAATCTTTCAGTTTATTCACATTCTTGACATCAATATTCTAGAAAACACCATTTACGCCAAATATTGTTAGCTCGCGGGAATGCAATATATTCAATTTACATTATTTTATGTAAGACAAAGTCAAGATATTTGTTAGTTTTAATAACCGCCGAAAACAGTATTTCATGTCTACTTTGTACTTCCGGTATTCGGGTAACACCAAAAAAAAAAAAAAAAAAAAACGTAAAACCCTGAAGACGTTTTCTAAGAGCATGAATTGTTCCAGATATAGTACAAGGACGAACGCCAGCAACAACAATATACGGATATTTGCTTTCAAATAAACGGCCAAAAATTCGAAGATTAAAAAAAAAACATTTCCAAGAAGTCCTGCCAAGAATAAAAATACACCCCACATAACAGCATGGGCACACTACTTATAATGAAGGTAGGTACCCCGTATTCCTCGAAAAGACGACAGAAAATAAACAAGTTACCACCACCACAATTACCCCGGAAACGTGTGTAACAAATTTCAGAAATACGCAACGGCTTGGCGTGGCTCAATACGTCAAACGCACACACGATATCGAACACAAGACTATGTTATAACGTACATTTAGATTTTCACGCACACTTGAAATAGACGTAAATAAAGGCCATTAAAGAGACCGTTCAAGTGGAAGACTATATAATTTTATATTTTTTACTACCCACACTATACTCGTGTGCATCATATCGCATATACACGCGAGCATATAATATATAATGTATGCATAAAAAAAACTAAGAAAGTACAGCTGCAGCATTCTACCACGTTTCATATACTACCAGTGTGTTATACATTATATATTATATCCATTGCGAGTGCGTCAATTACGGTCGCGTTTAGAAAACGACTTCCGGTCATTGACCACCACCGAAACGCGTATACAGACGGTCAACGCAGTGCGCATGGGGAAACAGGTTGTCGCAAATCCCGCGATTCAGTATATATGCATCAGAAATTTAAAAGTTAATACGTAATTTTTTTCATTTTCGCCAATTTTTGAGTTTAAATGACCCATATGAGCTTAGTGGACGCTCATAATTTTAAATAATTACTCAACACCTGTTGGGTCGGCGTTAATTGCATGAGAAATAAAACTAAGTCACAGCATATTGAATTGTCTGGGCTCGAGCGTTCTTGTGTTTTAACTGCACCCCAATTTCATACACAATTATTTCCGAAGAGGAAAAAACGGACGTGCTGCCGCCATGTTTCACGGGGTGACGAGAACCCTAGCTACGAGTAAAAGCCTCATTCATTTGTCCATCACGAGCCACGCACACGCAGAAACAGTCCCCCTCATCGACTTCTATTGCTGCCACTACCACGACCGCCATTGGTCCCACCACGATAGCGTCACGCGTGATAACCACAATGCGATCCCCGCTGCGGTGCGATAAAATTTTTTTGAAAAAATAAAACCGTTTACTACTTGTCTATTCGAGAAAGATCACCTACTTCTATGGTGCATAATATGCACTGCATATATACATAAATATCTGTACATTAATCAATACCGATTTGCTTTGCAAAAATCACGTGAAAAATATAATCAAAACTACAGCAGCAAAATTTCAGATTTGTATAAATCATAATATAATAGATTACCTCTGGACGGTCGGCTGTCTCGGTTGGAATTGAGAACTCGGTTGGCCGAACGCGTAACCGTTGTAATCTTGAGTGTTACCCTGGTTGGCCTGCTGTTGACTTTGGTCCATGTCGTTCGGGGTCATTACTATGGAGTGCGCCGAGTTCGAACTAAATACACATACAATGTTATACACATCACAGCCAACAGTAAATTACTTTAATATTTTATTACATGTTCTACTCTACTACAATATAATATTATCATTTATTACACACAACCCGCAGTACTGCAGATCATTGAGCACGTGTCGCAGTACCAATCGTCATCACCGCCTCCTTTCCGAGGAGTTCACTCACGATCTCAACGACCGCACTACTCGTATTAACATTTTATAAACGATAGTGAGTAATATTCAAGCCGAAAAGCCGGAGTTACGGACGTGTGCCGACGCAACCGTGTCTGTTATAGCAGTACCTACTTATATATTATGGCACTTTAAAACGACCTATATAATATTCTACGTATATAATATCATCGTATCGCTCCGGAGGATCGACAGGCGATTTTTACGACTCTTCCGGATCCGCCAACGGTACTTGTTGGTTAGGCAAGTATCGGTATTGGCGACGGAAGATGATTTTTACGGCGAGCGTGCTTCTACGTAAATCGATCCCCGTTCGAACTCGGCGACGGCAGCGTCGACGACTAATATAAACGCCCGACCGCCCGCGCGCCTCGCCCTGCCGCCGCCGACGATGCATTACACGCGTACGATAAACTCGGCACGCCGCACACGCAGCCGGTCGTCGTCACCGTCGTCGCGCGTTTGCCCTTCTCCTCCGACGCGGCGCGTCCTCTACACGCACGCACACGCAAGGAATGTGCGGCGAAGGCTCTCCTCTGTTGTAGCCGGTTAGAGTGTGTGTTGTGAGTTTAAGTGAGTGTGTGTTCGTGTATTGTGAGTATGAGTGAGAAAGAGTATGCGAGTGTGTGCGTGTGTGTATCGCGCATATTATAGTATTATAGTGTACGGGGAGAGGTGTACAAATCGCATAGTATTATTATATTTACGCCATAGTGTCATCTAATATGCACGGGACGTTTGAAACAAGCGCGTAAAAGTGTATAATATTTTTACCTTATACGAGAGCAATAATAATAATAATAATAATAGAAAAAATAATATGGTAATAGTATCTCGCGTATATGCGCGGTAGGTACGACGAGACAGGGGAAGCGTTTTTTCCCCCCGGCTTCACCTGCGAGCGAAGCGCGCCGTTCGCGATGGGGTGGAGACGATCGGAATGTCCCGGCGGCGGTGAACGTCGTAAGCCACGTGTGGGAAATGTGACTTGTCGCGTGCGTAACGCGACGGAAAACCGCCACAGAGGGTGTAATACAATAATATTATCTTGAACAGGAAAAAAACGGACGACGACGACGACCCATATTATTTACTATTGTTTTACCGTTTTCCTTCTATACCCAAAAATATATTTAAAAAAAAAAAAAAACGTTTGCGTGAGATGGCGGAACACAATATTATTCTAGTACAGGTCGGCCGCGGTGTTGTGTGCACATATCATGTAGCAACGGTAGCGGAGTAAACATTTTCGGAATCGATCAAAAGCGTTTACGCAGCCAACGCCAGCGAGCAAACAAAATATTAATAATAAAGATAAAAAAAACTACGTACTGTTGGCCGTGTAATATTTATACACCAAGGTAATACACCTTTACATACACACAGTCGAAGATGACGGTAGCACGAAACAAAAATAATTAATCGGCGTTCGTATTTATTTTTTATAAAGAAAATATATGTTATTATTCAGGCGATGGCGACGGAGTTAAACTGAGCTGCTTTAAACAGCGATTATCACAAAACGCGAACGTCACTTAAACAACAAAAAACTAATTTTGAAAATAAACTATTAAAAAAATATATATAATATTTATGCGTCGATTATACTATTTTAAAATTATTTATATTAATACTACACTATTACTATTGTTATTGACAAGTTACGTTATTAAATTACCGGGTTCGTGAACGAAAACCACTAAAACAACAACTGACGGTACACAATAAATGTCGAAAATGTTATTTATTTTATATTTTTATTAAAATATAATAAATTAATGTACTTTTAATGTTATGATGTGATGGATTTTGGTCGGAGCGCACGGCGCAAAAACAACGTTACGGACGGACGGGCCGCGGTAGACAGAGAGGGAGAGAAAAAAAATACTTAAATTTCGTCCGAACTACTACATAATATATATATATGTATATATATATAAAACGCAGTGTGGCCAACTACGGCGGTGTATAGTCACTAGTCGGTCGCCGCCGACACCGCCGTCGACGAAGTATGATGTCCCGAACGTAAACGTGTTTTTTTCCTCTCTTCCTTGCTCAGTATTTTTTTTCTCTATTTCATTTATTTTTTATTATGAAACTCACGCCATTCATTATCGGAGTATACTTTGAACGGGATAACATCGGACCATTTCGGGCACGTCACACAAATCGTGGCCCGATGGTTTGCGGCGTGGGGGTTCGATTAGCACAATTAATACAATAATATGCAATATACGTATAATTATGGTATGTTATATTCATAATAATATTATCATAATATGCACTTGTGTATACATAATAATAATACGCGTATAGATATCATATAATGCATTGCTTGTATAATAAACCCTCATGATGTTTACAATGTTTCCACAGTAAATTTTTTTTGTGGGAGGGGGAGTGGGGATTTGTTAAAAATATGAAAATCCTGTAAGATAAGTAACCGTTTTCGTTCGAGCGTCGGATTTACATACGACGCAATAAAACACAACAATATAATAAAATATTAATTTATTTTAATATGATAACGTGTGGTGGTGAACGCCGCGATGGGCAATGAGTTGGTGTGCAATATGTGTTTGCAGAACAAAATATTGCAGTTAAGTACTAGAATTATACAACTATCTATAAAACGGTGTTCCTCCGCCGTGACATTTCTTTGACCTTCCACGCGCGCGTTTGTTATATATTTTTTTACGACACTGGTTTCTAGCAAAACGCCGGCGACAACGCTTTCCCTCTGAACATTTCTCTCGGTGAGTCTTGCTCCTATTCCAAGACGATGAAATAAACGAACGCGAATTTACACGTATAAACAATGAATGGATAACATATATATATATATACATGTATATGGATCAATAAATTATAGTTCATTATGTTTGTCAATAAATATACGAGAATTGCCGTCGCCAGTAACATAATAATATGTATTGTAAAACCAGAAAAGAATGTTTGCAGCGATAGAAGCTACGAAGAGCCAAGCCGCATGCAGGGTAAATTCAGAAACTGGTTATGAAACAAATTTTTTTGGTAAATATCACATTATATTTCTAAAAAATGGTTCCAAAGCTAGATCTACCTGAGCCTCTCCTCCAAATAAAATAATGAATAAATATAAATTCCATTAATCAGGTCAGAAGGCGCACAAAACAAGACGATTTCGTGTAAAATATTTTATGAGTCTAATAGAATGCGATATTCTCCTCGAACACAATGAATACATATTATAAATAATATAAAGTATATTATACTATATATTATATATATGTATGAAATAACCTACCTATATATTGTATACCGGTGTACAGGACAAGGGCAAACAAGTAACGACGACGTTATACATATAATATAGTTATGTGGCGAGGGTGGTGGTGGTGATGGTGGTTTTTGTGCCCGAAAAGTATCATAAATATTTCGTATATTTTGCAGGTCAGGATTTTTCTGACACCTGCAGGCTGCAATAGAACGAGGCAAAAGACCTTGTGCTCGGATTATATATCAACAGCAATATCGAAAATTAGACATTCCGTCAAATCTTGCATTTTAGTATTTTATACCATTCATAAACATTACTACACTACTCACTACTTGTAATATAGAATATAAAAATATAATATATTATAATAATATAGATGTGTTGTTGTTGTTATTGTTACATACTGCAAAGGAAGTGAATTACATGTCAATAAATTCTCATTAAATCGTTGAAAATCACGATAAATGAGTCGTATAACCCATGAGCACATGGAGAATGATCTTTTTCAAAAAAGTAAGTAAAAACCCATTTAAAGTTCGATGGTGGCAATGTGTTATTATTTATTATTCAATTGGGTAATTAATATATATATATATATTACATTTTACCTAATATGTCTATAATAAATATATACTTATACAGAGTTGTATACAATTTGGAGAAAAACAAATATTTTGGAAATAGAGTTCCTTGTCTAAATGTTTTAAATGGAATAGGAATACCATATGTTTCCGGTGGGAAATTATATATATGCACAGGGGTAAACAAAACATAAAAATAATGTCAATTGCATACACGATTCATCGTACTAAATTATTACACCAATTAAACGCCAAACATAAAAGTTTAAAGAAGTATGTTGTACCAAAAATACATCGATGAATATATCTGTAAACGAAGATATTAATTCAACTAAACACAATCACAAAGAACATTGTAAAGTAACAATATACTTGAAGAGTAGTAGAAATATTTTGGAAATACAAAAATTACCAACTATAAAATGTAAATACCAAACTGAAGATTTTGACCCATTGAAAAAAAATCGTACACAACATTTTTATGTAGGTGCTGCACGCGTGCGCGTACACTAACACACGTGTATATTATTTTATAGAAAAGACTGGATGACACACGAGTCAAGTATTTTAATGAATATTCGTCATGTCTAATGTATATATTATGTGTGTATAGTATATATATATATACATATATATAAATCATTATACACAAATGATATGTTCTCTTCTTCAGTAGTGGACTAACGACAAATAAACATGTACATTGCATTATAATATAATTATATATGTAATTTATATATTATATAAAGGAGAATAGTTACTTAAAACATATTTTATTTTTATAATATCGATAAACGTTACATATTTTATACGCAGAAATATTATTGTTAGTGTAGATACCGCCAATCGGTATCATAAATATATATCGCATCTGAACCACAAGGGAAAAATATGAATGAAGGCATAAAAAACATCTGCTTTTAAAGTTATTTCTATTTTTAATACTAATTAAATACGTGATAACAAAATATTAACTTAATTGTAGATTTATCAAATAATGCTACACTAAATACATTTTATTGAAATTATAATATAGGTAATTTACGTTTAATAAACTATTCCTAATTTTTATAAGTAAGTATCAAAAATCATTTATATTTAAATTCATAGTAATAATAAAAAATAAAAAATTGTATAATAATTAGTTTTATGATTTTTATAACAGACGGTAATTATTTTTTATTGCATTTGGCGCAGATAATAACAGATTCAATTTTAGCCCAAATTAAAAACTATCATATTGGTTAATTTATACATTATTGAAGATATATACCCTTTTAATTTTAAGCCAGTAATAATTTGTACAGTCTAATATTATAAAAAATATGTTTTAATATATTACCTATATAATATATAAATATATATATTATAAACTACATACAGAAAGTTGTAATGCATTAATAATTCAATGATAATAACATATATAAAAACAACATTAATACAAATGAAACTGCCATCGATTTCTATTTAAAAATAAAATCAAATTGAAATTAAAATAAATTTATTCCCACTAAGTTTTGAATCGTTTATCATACGCGCGCGCAATTGCGAGCACCCTGCTTGAATCAACCCTCGTGGAGTATAATCGAGTCGCATATATATTTATATTTATACATCTATATATATCATATGCAAAGCACTCGTCATCGTACAACCCATCCGACAGATATACACGGGGAATATAAAATATATATGTATTATATGTACGTGTGTATACAGACGCGAAAAAAATGTCATATAATATAATACGGCCGGTAATGAAATCCGTTCCGTTCGCCATTTTGAGTGCGTATAATAATTGATGTTTTTTTTACATTCTTTTTTATATGCGCACTGTACATTTTACCACGCGTACATTGTATGCGCAACTACGTACATAGAAAATGGCGAATTCGAGTTAATTTTTTATTAAAATCAGTAAGGTATTACATGTTATAAGATTCCATTTATTATTTCATAAAGAAAATACACAGTTTATACAGACATACAGTATACTGCATAGATATTAGACACCCTCAATACGATGCAGCAACCGATATCATAAAGTCATACAAAAATATAAATTACCCGACAACGTTATACCTATACTATTTTTTTAATACAAATCTGTTCAATAGTATGTATGTTATGTACAAAATGATTCGCCAAGCGTGCTTAGTGCTCACCCTAATTTTTTTCCAAAAATAATGAGTTTGTTAAGAAATTATTTTTTAAATTGTTAAGTAAGTATGTAAATAAGGATCATATTTTAAAAATTTACTTGGCTTTTATTCTTAATAAACTTATATAATTTGTAATTGTGGAGTATCTTTTGGTGATAAAATTTTCTTATTAACAAATGATAACCATCCTTCTTTAAAGTTATCAGTTGTTAAGTAGAAAATTATTTAGAAAAGTTGATGTACCTATATAAATTAAACTTTAAACGTTTATAAGTAGCTTTTAGTACTAGGGCATTATACAGGTTAAATACATATAAAGGCTTATATTATGATGATTTCAAAACTAAAGTATTGAATATAAATTTTATATTTTTTTTTAAATAGTTCAAGTATAATAAATACTATTTGCTATAAATACTTCACCAATTACTATACAAGAACTATTATCCGTTGAATATAAAGTTTAATAATGCAAAAAAAATGTTTGTTTGCGTTTAAATTTAAATGCGTCAACGAAAAAATATCATAAAATTAACAACTTACAATACAATGTGTTCCTATTTGAAAAAAAAAGTTTGTATTGTCACGAAACACTCCTTTAACAGTATAAAAATTTCAAAAATTTAAATGTAGTCTGAAATGAGTGAATAAGCTAAGGTACATCGAATATAATTGAGTTTGTTTTCGAATATTGTAATTTTTGTTTTTTAATTTAACAACAATATAAAAATACAACAATTTGATAAAAACATATTTATCACACTGCTTACATAGTTATTTTAAAAACAGCGATTTCATTAAATCGTTAGTAATTATGATACCATATTGTTTTTAATCAAAGTTATTTATTTTAAAATACTTAATTG